TGTTATGAAAACCTGCAGCTCTAGGTCTCTGTAGATACCTTGGAGTTAGCGGTTTGATATTTATGGTAACTGCCTCCCCTGGCCCCATCACCTGCAGGTATGTAAACACACTCACGCTCACATGCACGCACACACATACACACACATACACAATTGAGCTCTGAGTCATGTGGATTTACAGAGTAAAAGACAGCATGTCAGTGGCTATCGGGGTGGTCCGATCAGGTGCCATCTACTTGGGATGCTCGGCGAGGCCCTGGTCAGGCCGTCCAAGTGGATACACAGCTCCCAGCCCAGGAGAAACTTTGGGGACCTGCCATCTCTTCCCACCCCTTCTTTACCCCTGCAACTGGCAGCATGGAAACATCTCAGCAGCAGTCTCATTTTACGGGGCTTGATAGCTTTGGGGACCTGGAGGAGCTTCAGTTAAAACGAAAACGTCTTCCATAGTTGCCAGAGCACATTTTATTGAGGTTTCTCCTTCAGTTCCCGAGGGCCCTTGCTTTTACAGATGGGGAAACTGAGACCTGGAGTGGGAGGAGAGCTGGCATGGGTCACACAGTGACACTTACCTGGAAGGGACAAGCCTAGACTTTTTGCCAGCCAGGGGCCCTTCTCCTTTGGGTCAGTTTTGTCCAGACAGACAGCCCTGGGTTGTACTTTGAGAGTCACTGACATCGTGGGTTTGGCTCATGCAGATGTGTGTTCATACCTAGATGGTTTTTAAAATGAATATTCATTGAGCAGCTATTATGTGGCAGTCATTGGGAACACAAACATGTCAAGCCACATATGGTCCTTACAGTATAGTGAGAAAAACTGATTTTACTAATACCTTGGCTCTTTAAAAAGTTCATGGAAAATGTGGGTTATGAAAAAAACTATGCATAGTGTTTATATTTTTAATTACACCAAAATAAACTTGTGCTTTAATCCTATTTTCCACAAATTCTCTCTCTCTTTTGTTATTATCAGAGAGTGTATGTGTTGCCTGAGAGAGGAGAGCAAGAAAACCATGGCGTGGGGTCATGCTGCAAGGCTTTTCCTCCACTCCTCCATCAGGATTTTGGGCATGTGCATGCACTAGCAAGGCGTGGAGAGTCAGCCACTGAGGCAGGGAGATTCAGCCCTTGGTTGACCATGTTGGAGCTGGCTTC